ATACCATTATTTATTTTGATGTTCAACATCCCCTATTTGACAGTGCGAACTCCTTCAAGCTAGCTCTTGTGTCCTTTTGACATCTATTCTATACGTTTCAATTATACAGGGCTGAGATGAAGACATAAATTTCTTAGGTAACACAAAAATTTCACTTTGATAATTAATCTAGATCACACTCTACCAAATATCTTAGTGTTGCCAAATAAAGGTTATGACTTTTTAAAATAACCTTTCTATTTTAGAATCAAGTTTTAGGGCCGGCCCCGTGGCTTGGTGGTTAAGTGAGCGCGCTCCGCTGCTGGCGACCCGGGTTCGGATCCCGGGCTCGCACCGACGCGCTGCTTCTCCGGCCATGCTGAGGCCGCGTCCCACATACAGCAACTAGAAGGATGTGCAGCTGTGACACACAGCTATCTACTGGGGCTTTGGGGGAAAAATAAATAAATAAAATCTTTAGAATCAAGTTTTAGATTTAGAGAAAAGTTGCAAAGCTAGTTCAGAGAGTTCCTGTATACCTCTCAAACAACCCCCCCATTGTCAACATCCTACGCTACCATGTACATTTGTCACAACTGAGCAATAGTGCATTACTATTAACTACACTCCCCACTTCACTCAGATCTCCCCAGTTTTCCCCAATGTCCTTCTTCTGTTCCACGATCGCATCCAGGATCCCACAGTACATTTAGTCATCGTGTCTTCCTTAGTCTCCTCCGGTCTGTGACAGTTTCTCAGACTTTCCTTGCTTTTGATGACTGTGACTGTTTGGAGGAGTACTTGTCAGGTATTTTGTAGAATGCCTCTCAATTTGTTTTTGCCTAGTGTTTTTTCTCATGGTTAGACTAGGTGTAATGGGTTTTGGGGAAGAAGACCATAGAGATGAAGTCCCATTCTCATCCCCTCAGGGTAGACGCTATTGACATGACTCAACACTGATGATGTTAACAGGCCAAGACCGTGTTTGCCAGGTTTCTCACTGTCAAGTTACTTTCAGTACCCCTTTCCACGCTCAGCTCTTTGGAGGGAAGTCATGAAGCGTTGTCACAATCTGCATTCCATCCCTTGTGTCCTCTGACCTCCTGGTTGATTTTTTTTTTATAATTTTATTTATTTATTTATTTTCCCTCAAAGCCCCAGTAGATAGTTGTACATCATAGTTGCACATCCTCCTAGTTGCTGTATGTGGGACGCGGCCTCAGCATGGCCGGTGAAGCGGTGCCTCTGTGCGCGCCCGGGATCCAAACCCGTGCCACCAGCAGCGGAGCGCGCGCACTCAACGCTAAGCCACGGGGCCAGCCCTCCTGGTTGATTTTTAAATGCTTTTCAGACATTATGTTTTTTGCTCTTTGTGCTGTGTTCTGTGGGTTTTGACAAATGCAGAGTCACAGATCTATCACTCCAGCACCCTACAGCTTAATCCCATCCCCCTAAAGAACACCCAGTGCGCTCCCTAGTTAACCCCTTCTTCTCCTAACCCCTGGAAGCCACTGATCAGTTTTCCGTCCCTACAGTTTTGCCTTTTCCGGAATGTCTTATGAATGGAATCATTTAATACATAGCTTTCCAGTCTGAACGTTTTCGCCGTGGAAACGCCGTTTGCGTTATTCGGGTTTTTTTGCCAACGTCCTCGTGAGACAAATCAGTCTCAGCAACTTTGAAAACCTGCTCTTCCCCATAACACTTTATAGCCACTTTATAACTGTACATACCTTTATAACACTTTATGACTTTATTTACCTTTTCAACCCATAACACTTGGCAGAAATTGAGCAATTCTTCCACGGCCTCCTCATCTGCAGAGCCTGCGTCCCCTGCAGGTTTGAGCGGGAGGCTTGAGCTCTAATTCCAGCTCTCATCCTAACTAGCTGTAACTTTGGGCGAGTCACTTAGAATCTTCAGTCTCAAACGCTGAAGAATAGCTCCACGGTTCCACTCATTCTAGAGTTCGGTATTTAAAAAAAAAAAAAAAAAAAAGTAACGTTTCTGTAGTAATCCTAAAAGCCCGCAGCACCACCTGGTGGCCAAAGAGAAGAGGACATGCGGAGGAAAAAAGTTGACACCTCCAGCCACATCTGTTTTGCTTGTTTGAATAAAATTTCACATTTTCAAACAATTTCTGCTCTAAACTGGCTACATACAAGTGCAGTACTACATATAAAAGCAATCATACAGGTCATTATGTTTAAAATCACACCCTGCATAAATCCTTTGTGCATATATACTCTAATCCTTGAATAGTCATCATTAACCAGCTATTATGTTTTGGTTAAAACAAAGCAAAACACAAACTACTGAAAAATTAGAACAATTACACACAATAAAAATATACTTCATTAAACCAAAAAAAATTCCTTCATATTAAAATTATTCGTATATATTTGAGCAAGAAAATAAATGATAGTCTTCAATTATAACCCAAAAAATAAAATAAATACTTGTGAATTCATACTTATATAAATACATGGTTGAACGAATGAATGAATAAGTAAATACAGGAAAAGAGATGGCTCTTCTTTACAAAATAATTCCAATCAATAAATGTAAAAGGAATGAGAGAAATAGAAAACCATCATTAGATCCCCACTGTAATAATTGTTGCAGGCAAGATCCACCTCTGTATACTAAAATTTTACTGTATAGGCAAAAGTTTGAGGAGAAACAGGATAATTTCATAGTCTCAAAATATCTCCCCCAAGATCTTTGTTAATTACAAAAAATATATATATATATAGTAACTTTATGGTGGATAAATCCAGCAGATATCAGTTAATAAAGTGACCAAGGTTAACATCAGAGAAATAAGACATATTGACATCATATGCCCTTTGATATGATTTATATTTTTGTTAAGGCTAACTGGTTTTATTTTTTTATTTTTTTTTTTAAAGATTTTATTTATTCAGTTTTTCTCCCCAAAGCCCCAGTAGATAGTTGTATGTCATAGGTTCACATCCTTCTAGTTGCTGTACGTGGGACTCGGCCTCACGTTGGACGGAGAAGTGGTGCCTCGGGGCGCGCCCGGGATCCGAACCCGGGCCGCCAGCATCAGAGCGCGCGCACTTAACCGCTAAGCCACGGAGCCGGCCCATGGCTAACTGGTTTTAAAGAGAGAAAATTCCATACAAGTTTTCTCTCTAATAATTTTGGAAACAGCTTTTTGCTCTTCTTTTTGCATTTTTTTTTAAGTCATTAAGCAATGGGGAACTTAGTAGACAGCAACTGTAAGACAATCCAAATGTATTTAACTTCCATAGTTATCTGCTGGGAATATGGGTCCATAAAGAAGAGAGGACCACTCTGGGTATCTTTCAGCATCTACAGTAAACTCGAATTTCAGTAAAATTAACAGAAATGTTATTTGAAATTCATTATATTTGTAAGGAGGAAGGAAATATTTAAATCCCCTTTTGATGAAAGGAAAAGAATTCTCTTGGTATCTTGACCAAGTTACCTTCAAACCAGTTTCCATAAAAATCAAAGACAAAAGTAATATGAGATTTATGTCCAAAAGCGTTAAAAAGCTGCAAGCCCAAGAAGAAAACAGAGAATACATTTTCTTTTCAAGTATCCATGAAACATACATAAACATTGATAATCTACTAGGCCAAAGAGAAAATATCAGTTTCAAAAAGTAGAAATATTATATTTTCTGATTACAATGCAATAAACTAGAAATAAATTACCAAATCAGAAAAAAATGTTCCCTTGTCCTCGAGATTAAAAAATTTTCTTAAATGGTTGCTTGAGTCAAAGGGGAAATACCAATCAAAGTTGAACCTTATGAGATGAAATCAAAGCATGAGGGCAGTCGCTAGCCTCTATGGTGTCACTGTGTGAATTAGAAAAAGTACTCCTTCTTCAAGTAAAAAAAAAAAAACAACAAAGACCAACACTGCTGTATCTGTGGATAGTCATGAGGCGATGGCTCTGAGCCCAGCTGGCTGGAACATGAGCATGAGGCTCAGGGAAATAAAGTTAAAGTGAGCTGGTAGCTGTGAAAGAAAAAAGTATAAATTTCTCTTTTTTAAAAATAAACCCACTAAGTATGAGTTTTCCTTTAAGATTGGAAGCAAACTTCCAGTTAGTAAAGTGCTTGCTAGCAGGATTTTGAAGGCCAAGAAAAAGTCCCTAAGGAATGTTTTCCTTGATTGAACTTAATATTCTCAAGGTCGTGACTCCTAAGGACAAAAAGACAAGAACGCACTTGATTTTAAACTTCAGTGACTTTTCTACAATGCACTCTAGGATTTAGCCGTTTCAAATGCTTTAGATAAATTATGCCGTTTTTAACAAGTTCTTGTGAAAAGTAATGATTAAAGTTTTGCGTCATCTGATGTCAATGATTCGGGAGCAAGCTTACTCAGCCTGTCTTATAGGAGGCCTATATTCGAGGCCAAGAAAAGTCCCAATTTGTAACTGTGTTGTTAAAGAACCATTCAGATATTCTCTTCTTACTGCAGTAGAATATTTTCAAATGGAGTGATTCTTGACATTATTTCCCTAAAATCACAAAAAGATGCAGCACTTTGAGGGTTCTATTTTGTAAGGAGAACTTCCTTTTACAGTAGCATCGCTCCTAGAGTGGGAGCAGTAAGGTCTCCAGGTGCTGTGAAAGCAAGGGGGAGCTCACCAGGGAGGGCTTCTCTCAGCTGTGCACTCAGAGGGTAGAAAAACATACTGCAGTTGAGGTTGGGTTGTGGGCGGTGGGGAGGAAGGAAGGTCAGTGACCACAGTTAGAATGAGATGAACAAAAGCCAGACGAGTAAGGAGAGGAAGGCCTGGCAGAGAGCTCTTTCTGGGGTGAGGAGTAGGAGTAGCTCAAGGTTGATTTTGATGCATGAGTCACTGGGCGGGAGTCGAAGAGGCTTCTATTGTGACACCAAGGAAACAGAAGCTGGGGATAGGCCACAATGGTGCAGTGACAGAATAAGGACCTTGTTGCTAGGGTCTGGGAACAAACACCAGAAACCTGGAGGAGTAGAGATGGAGCTCTAGCTCCTGGTCCCCTTTCCCACTCCACCTCCCCACAAGTTGTCTGAGATGTCGCCTTCCACCTAAACATCACCTTCCTGTCTTCAGACTTTAACTCTGGTCTCTGACTTCTGCTTAGTTCCACATTTGCTAGCCATTTGCACAGAAGACTGCCACCTTCCCTTCCTGGAATCTCTAAGGTTTTCTGCTTTCCTCGTGCCCTGATCACCAGCCCTACTAACTCAGCAGAGATGGAAGTGCCGGCCCTCTCTGAAACTCTTAAGCCTACTGCTGATGTCAATCAAGAATCTCCGGAGCCCAGGATTATCGTTGCCTTATTTGACATCGGATCACTTCCTCCTGTCTCCTGGGGTTCTCTCCCCTCCCTAAAGAGTGGTGGCCATCAAGCAACTGAAGAGCAGACTGCAAAGAACTTTGAAAATCTCCTGAAAGAAATGAAGAATATTCTTAAAAATGTGACAGGTTATGAAGAGAAGATCACAGAAGCAAAAGAATCTTTTGAGGAAACCACTATCTCTGAGGATGTGTTGGAACTTAAAGGAAAAATCAGAGGACTTGATGAAATAAACAGAGCGCTATTGAAAAACCTGCTTGGTAGTTTAGACCTAGAGAAAGAACAGAATACAAAGAAACAGGAGATGATATTGAAAAACCAGAACTCCAAGGACACAGTACAAGGTTTTGCAAGGGATTTGGTAAATCGTTCAGAAGAAATAAGAGCCCTTGATGAAATTCAGCTAAGTAAGGAAAAAGCAAAGTCCAGTTTTCCTCATGCTCAAGAAAAAAATATGAAACTTAGGAACAGCATGGAGCAGTTACTACAGGAAGCAGAACACTGGAGTGTGCAACATACTGAGCTTAGTGAACTAATAAAATTGTACCAGAAGTCTCAGAAAGACATAAGAGAAACTCTTGCAAATAGTGGAATCCACTTCCAAACTCAACTGAATAACGAGCTGTCAGCTAAGTGTGAGCTGGAGGAACAAGTGAGGAAATTGAAACATGACACGTATTCATTGCGTTTGATTGCAGCTTTGCTGGAGAATGAATGCCAGATCTTACAGCAGAGAGTAGAGCTTCTCAAGGAACTTCATCATCAGAAAGAGGGAGCTCGGCAAGAGAAGCCGGTTCAGATCATCCACAAACAGGACAAGAAAGAACCGAAGCTGTCGGAGGCAAAGAAGGTAGAAATTCATAAGCAGAAAATGCAAGAAATAGAGGGTGCATTTCAGAAAAGAGACCAATTCTATAGAAGCCTGGATGCCTGTCGTAATAAGAAAGCTCGTAATAACTGGTTCAATATTCATATTGCAAGAAGAGCTCTTGTGGGAAAAAAGAGGCCAGGCAGCAGCCTAAGATAGAAAACATAAAAAGTAGAAGAAAAGGCGGTTCTTCAAAAAACTTTACTACATCCAACTCCAGGCATAATCTATCATCAAACCTAGGATAGATCTGTTGGTTCAACCAAGAAAGAGCTATAACATGACAAGATTAACACCGACTTGGTTCATTACCTCGGTAGCTACGTAAGTTTGGTCTTTAATGACCATTAGCGTCAACATCAAGTTCATAATTTTTCATCTTTACAATCTGCTTGTTTTTGTAGTTATTAGATAGAGGTCCTATGACACTTTAACCAAAAGTGAGGAGTTACAGGTCCAATTAAGTAAAGGCCTAAATAAAAACCAGATCAAACAAAGGAAAGTGTTTTTTTCTTTATTTAAAGATTACCTGGGGGGGAATGTTTCGGGGAAAAAAAGTATACAACACTTTAGTTGTGAACCTTTAAAGGTTGCTTTTTAAATTCATGTTTCCTTTCCCTATTATCCACTGACGTGTGGGAAGCCCTGGAGTAAAAAGTAATGCTGATGAACCACCCCTAAACAGTTTTTCTCTTCTCATAAATCTCCCTATCCCCTGGATCTACTTTTTCTAATATTCCTCCCTCCTCCTCAACTAGGCAGCAGAGGCCCTAGGGGAAGGACACCTTGGCTTGTTTAGAAGAATAGATATGTATCTAGATTTTGTTCTGTGCTGGAAACATTCCTCCCATTCCTCCAGGCGGGGACAGTAGAGTTACCCAGGGGAAAAAGCAATACCTCTGTTAGGGGAGCTGGACTTCTGGTTCCAGAAAAGATGGAGCAGATGCGTTTCTCCCTATTCCTCCCATTAAGTGAACTAAAAACCCTGGACATTATGTATAAAATGAACATGAGAAGATTCTGAAAGATGGAGAGAAGGAGATGGACTGGCCAGGGTCCCTGAGACTTAAGGAATAACACGATGTTGAGTTCCCTGGCTATTCTTTTTGTCTCATATATCCTGGACTGAGTGGTGGAGGAGCCCACAACCCAGAAATGCCAATGCATTTAGACAAAAAATGGCACCCCACCTCCCGCCATAATGCTTGCTTTCTCTTGCCAAAAGATGAGGAAAAGGACAGTCTGGCAAGACAGAAACCTTTTGACAAAAACTGCCCTACTCTAGCCAAACTGCATGGAAAATGCCATGCCTCCACCTCACCTCCATCAGCAAATACTGAACGAAGAGCCTAGACTTTAACCCTTGCCCAGAGATAGTGAGGTACTCCTCCCCCTTTCTTCTGCAGTGGTGCAGAGAAGGCAGGGTGGGGACTCTGAAGTTCCACCCCCACCTGATGGTAAAAAGGCGCTCCTCCCTGACCACCTTCCGTCAGTGGAGTGGAATGTCAGTGGAGGCCACATGGATAGCCTAGATTTCTACACCCTTCCCCAGCTCACACAACATCAGAAGAAGCCTGCTAAAACAGAAGATTTAAATAAGATCCAGGGCCTCATAGCATAATGCTCAAAATGTCCAGGATGTATAGAAAAATCACTCATCATACCAAGAATCAGGAAAATCACAACTTGAATGAGAAAAGACAATTAACAGATGCCAACAATGGGATGACAGATGTTGGTATTACCTGACGAGGATTTTAAAGCAGTCATTATAAACCTGCTTTACTGAACAATTACAAACACATTTGAAACAAAACAAAAAAATAGGAATTTTCAGCAAAGAAACAGAAAATATAAGGAAGAAGCAAATGGAGATTGTAGAATTGAAAAATGTAAGTAAAAGAAACTCATTGGATGTGCTCAATGGTAGAATGTTGATGTCAGAGGAAAGATTCCATGAACTTGATGATAGAACAATAGAAATTATCCATTTGAATAACAGAGAAAATAGGCTGAAAAAAATAGAGTCTCAAGAATCTGTGGAACAGTGACAAAAGATCTAACATCGGTGTCATCAGAGTCCTCCCCAAAAAGGCGGAGAATATGAGCTGAAAAAGTATTCAACAAAAAAAAGTCTGCAAATTCTCCAAATTTAGTGAAAGACATAAACCTACAGATTCAAGACACTGAGTGAACTCCAAATAGTATAAACTCAAAGAAGTTTAAGGCACTTTCAATCAAATTTCTGAAACCTAAAGACAAAGTAAAAGTCTTGAAAGCAGTGAGAGAGAAATGACTCATTAGATGTAGGAGAACAATGATCCAGATGACAGTGACTTTCTCATCAGAAACCACAGAGGCCAGAAGGAAATGAACATCTGTCAAGAACTGAAAGAAACGTCAACGCAGAATTGTTTGCTCAGTGAAAACATCCTTCAGGAATTAAGATGAAGTCAATACATTCTCAGATAGAGGAAAAGTGAGAGATTTTGTCACTATTTATTGGGAGAGCCCATTTGGTTACATAACTAATCCTCCTTTTCTTCGCATTCAAGAAAATAAGTGAAAATAACCCTTTAACCTCAGACTTTGTCCTATTCCATCTCCAAATACAAATTTCACATATGAGGTGCTGAATGAATGAAATGAGAAACTACAACATCACTGAACCAAACAATCACTTGTGTTTTAACTTGTTCATAGGCATTACCCGCACAAATTCAGTCAATGTCGTCTATCATCAAATGCTAAGGGGCTAACTCTCTAGTTCCCAAACTGTGCACTGAGGCTCCCCTGGTACCACAGCAAACTCACAAGGGAACCAGAGGATATTTAAATTTTTGAGAGAAGCACAGCAATATGCGACACCTGTTGCACACGACACACACTGGAGGCAGTCATAGTTTCAACATTAGATTTCACGTAGCCCCATACCCAGAAGTGACATTTCCATTGGTGAGAACTCAGTCATGAGGCCACATCTGTCTGAAAGCAACTGGGAAATGAGGTTTTTAGCTGGGCAGTCATGTTACCCAGGCAGAAGGAAGAATTAATTGTGGAACACTGTGAGGTACAGAGAAAATATTTCTATGTTTCTGCACAGTTAGGGCTTTCTGAGCAAATTTTATGGAAACTTGAGATCCTGGACTAAAAGCAAGCTCTAGAAGATGACTTACAACTGTACAGAGAAGGAGAACTCAAAAGACTCACCTAACTTTGGAGACGTGTGTTTACATTTCAAGTTGGGGTGAGGCCTGGACTTTGGAGACATCTCTGGGTTGTAAAGCCAGAGACGCTGGACTTCTCCCGCCCCTGGAGAGATTTATTTACATTATAAAAAGGTGAGAGTGAGAACCCAGGATCCTTTACCTGATCTTCAAGGAGCAGAGGTTCCTGGCCCCCTCCTTTTAGAAGGGGAAGACAGCTGCCTTTCTTGTCTACGTAAATGCCTAGGTTCATTCTCTCAGCTTTCCTCACTAGCAGCACAGACCGTGCTGCACGTAGGGTGACATCTGGTTCTCATCACCTCTCTCCAGGGCTAAGAACTGGAGCACAATTATTATGTAAGTAACAGCGATCTGTGTCTGATCCAGAAACCTCATGTGTGCATTCAGGACAAGATAAAGATGAATACTAAAAACCCAACAAAGACAAGCACCGTCTCCACCATCGGTTCTATTATGAACAAAGCCTAGGGCGTAAGAAATTCTCATATGTTGAAGTACTGAAAATAAAATTTGAAATATTGCTCCCTATTCCACAAACTAACATTTCTTTCTTGTGTCTGGAATATGGATCACTTTACAAATAATCTAAGAGCCAAAATTTTCCTATTACAGCCCTTGGTAAAAGAAAAAGATTTCCAGTTAACCAGTATTGAGGTACTCAAGGAATCACACATTTCTTTCCATCTGCCTTTCCCTCTAATGGAAACTACACACCATCTACATTGTTTTATTTTCCAACCATCTTGATTAATAAAACATTGTGCGGTTCATTTTTGTGCTTTACCGGATATGTGGTTCATATTACCAAGAAAGAAATTGTTGCTAAAATAAATTACAGCTGTTTTATTAAGCTTCAAATACAGCAAGCAAGCTCTGCTACATCAGACCCTCTAGATTTGGTTAAAATTTTTAACATTTTATGTGTGTAATAAAATTGTTCTCTTATCACAAGGTCCTATATATTTTTTTTACCCAATTTCAAAACATGTAAATGAGAATTTCTAAAAACAAGGCATTTTGAAAGGTGTTTCATGTGGATTCCAGTGGATAATAATCAATTATAGTCTGATAAACATAAAATTTATTTGGAGAAGGATCATGGCATTTCTTATGTGGAAGGATTTTTAGGCCATTACTTGTTGACAGTGAAAAGCCAAGGTGTGAAATCAGTGCAAATCTGAAAGAATCAATACTGGCCTAGTCCAGAGTTCTTTAATACTATATTTTCTCATACCCTAGCATCAAATTCCAATAAGAATCAAACTATGTTTTTGGAACTTTTAGATGTTCATTCCCGTCATCATTCTGTCCAACAGCAATAGTAATTTTTAAGATATATTTTTTTGGATAACCGTCCTAGGAAGAAGAAAAAATTCATACAAAGTTCTTTGTCAAATAAATTTTTCCCAATAAATTCTTCATCGTAATGAACTAGGGATTCTTGACTTCGAAGTACTTGAATTTCTATAAAGTCTTTCCCATCAAGCCACAGCAGTTCCACAGATTACAACAAAACAAAACAGTTCTTGATAATATTAATACTTTACCAGGAATAAGCACTTCGTTTCTCCTTTAAAATATATTCCATGAACCAAAAATTATTTTTAAAAATTTGTATTCCATGTAGGTCCAGAAAAGGGTTTGTTTACCACCTTTTAGCTCTTTAAAAAATTATGAAATGTAACAAATATACAGAAAAATGCATAAAACTTATAAGTACAGTTTAACAAATAATTAAAAATTAAAAATCTATTTAACCACCCCTTGGGTCATGTCAAACTGTTTTCGAAAGTGGTTGTACCAATTTACGTGCCACTCATCACTGTAATAGTGTTTCTATTGCCCTATATTCTCACTATAATTGGATGTTGTCAGACGTTAATTTCGTGGTTGTGTAATAGTACCTCATGCTAGCTTTAATTTGCATTTCCTTGATTACTGAGTTTAGTCAACTCTTTATGTTTTTTGGCCATTTGAATTTCGTTTTTTTATGAAGTACCTTCAAATTATTGACTTACAGGAGTTCTTTATGTATTCTGAGCCCTAGTTCTGTGATGTTCATGAGTTACAAACTTTGTCTCCCACTCTGTGGCTTGACTTTTTTG